TGCAAGTGAAAAATTAGTATATGTATATTTTTTGTTACATACAAGGAAAGTCTTTTAGAAAAAGCAGTAATTTGTGTAGATTAAAAATAAAGAGTACATGCATATGTAATAGGAAAACAAACGCACAATAACGCAATCAACCGTATTTGACGTGCAGCGCTAACACATTTTTTCATTGGAAAAAAGTGTAGCAAAAAGGCAGCATTGGAAAAAGGCGCCGCATACAAATGGAATTCTACCCCCACCAACAACAACCACATACTACTCAGCAAGTGGACGACGGTTCTCTATCCGGCCCGGCAACTAACACAAATACTATCAATAGTAACAACAGCAATATCAATATTAACAACGTTCGTAGCACAAACATTACCCCGCCCACCTCAAATACAATCAGTTCAGCAGCAGCAGCCGTTCCCGTCGACGCTGCCACTGTTGCTATCGCCAAGGATATGCTCCAATTGCATCATGGCAGTGGTACGGCACTAACCAATAACAATAATAATAACAGCAACAATACTAGCAACAGCAGTAATAACAACCATAATAATAGCTCTGCCCTGGAGGCCATGAATACAACATCATCCTCTAACGCCAACACCAATTCGGTAGGTGCTGCAGCTGGTAGCAGCAGTACAACCAATAGTGGTGTCGGCGGAGCGAACGATGGTTCAATCAGTGCACCAACAACATTGGTTACCAATCACCCACCTGCCAATGCCTCCGACGGCAACAGCAACACCACCAATTCGGGTGGGAGCGGCACTGACGTTTCAACGGCACCAGACAATGCGCTCGGTTTTCTAAAATACGACCAGGAATTGCTATACATCCTTGAGCCTATAACTATTATCGGACGAAACTCGTCCACATCACACGTGCACTTTCACGTCGCCGAGAACAATTTGGTGTCGCGAAAGCATTTTCAAGTTCTTTACGATGGAAATGCACGTGACTTCTTCGTGCAGTGTCTAAGTAAAAATGGCATTTTCGTTGATGACTTCTTGCAGCGACGCAATGCTGATCCGTTGAGATTGCCTAACAGGTAAGTTTGGTCAACTTAGTTTTTTAATGTTGAGGCATGAGTTTTTCATGTATTCGTTATTTTTAAGGGCGGGAAAACATAAAAAAATGTAATCTTTTGCGAATTCATTAGCAAGTGTTGCAAGTATGAAATTCAAACACTTTCGAGCTCTGCCCATATATGACTCCACAAATTTAATATATATTTGTTTTCTTTTTCTTTCAACTAAACTCAAGCCAACATAGAGATAAGTCGGAAGCTTTAATTAAAAAATTACATAGGCTCCTATTATGATTCACAATTTTGATGATACTTGAGTTGTAAGTTGTAAATTGGTATTGTGGGACACAACCCAACTCAACTTTGTAAAAGTAGTTGTCTGTCACCAACATCTTCGGGCACATCGGTAAAACCATGATACAATAATTTTTAGAAGGTAGTTTCACTTCAAAATTTTTGA